CAGTCATTGTAACAAAGCTTTCTATTGGTCGGTAAACTTTCTATCGCGCAACCACGTGACATACACGGTTATGAATAGAATTACCGCACGGTGTTGTAGAGGGAGGAATGTCCGAACGGAGCAACACCGTGCAGGCGGACGATGCTGCCGCATGCGCAGGTGACGACTCTCCCGCTTTAACACTTTGTCGTTTCCCCGATTTATAGATCATCTTATGTAAATAACATGTTTGTATTTCCCACAGGATTCAGCAAGATCGGAGAAGGGCGACACAGTTACCTGGAAGCAAGAAAAAACAAGGGTCCTGAACAGAAATATAAATTCCCTTTGACTGGTAACTGGGAGTATGGATGGAATATAAACAAAGAGATCGGCGAGTACAAGCCCCCAACACACGGCAGGTCTCATATAATACAGGAATCATTCTACAGAACAAACGGAGCCACACTTCTTTAATTTAACAGATTATTTACACTCTGACGTCATATTTTCACTTTTAACATTCATTAGGCGTTGAGGGGGGTACTTCTACAGGGTCAAAGTTGCATTGGTCATAAAACGAAAATATGGCCATCTAATTTTTAGATCGCTGTATAATTCATACAATTAAACCTGAAAATAGAAGACATTGATTTATGAATTCATTGACAATCTATGGCTTTTTATTTTGAAAAAAAAAAACTTATTGCGGATCAACACACAACATGTTTATGAACACCGCCTTAGTTGCAACCGTCCTTCAAGAGACAAAAGAAGTTACGCGAATAGTGAGTGCATAAAAAGATTGTTTTTGTCCGTCCATATCAACCAGTATTACGCACATACCAAGCCCAAAACCAAGTAAACGGCGTTTAGACTTCCAAACATTTCCGCAATAAACTCAATTTGATTGTTAGACACACATGTCAGGCCATTATGCGCTATCATTTGACACGCGTGAAAGGGCCCGAAAAGTCCAGCTACCATTTTTGTATGTGTAAATTCAAGAAGTATTATTTTTGAATCATGTATTTAATATGCAGATTAGAATCAAATAATATATTCTGAAAACTGTGTTTATGTTTCATTTCTTTCTCTAGTTAAAATGGAACCTTCCAAACCCAGGGATTGTACCAAATAATCATGGGACATAATAATAATAATAATAATAATAATAATAATAATAATAATAATAATAATAATAATAATAATAATAATAATAATAATAATCGCATACTCAGACACACGCAGCCCATACAGTCGTACATGTGCAATTCAGTTTAAAACGTTTGTATTGGCCGAGCTTCAAAAATGTGTTCAACTCTTCTTGCTTGTTGAAAATCGACATCTCTGCAACGCTCTTTAAATACTAGTGGGGATATAAATACAATACCTATTCTTGGACCTTGGTTGATTCAGAATTAACCAAAACCAAACGAAAACATTATACTTTGTGCCCAAAATATTGTACACTGGTCAAGTTCACAGCTGAGATGATGAATTGGCAGGTAATATTAGTACATTTTACACAGGAGTTAAATGTAGTACAACTGTGACGTCATATAAACACACAAAGGGATTGGCAGTATTTTGCCTTCAAATATACACATCGCTGTTTTTACCGAAACTTCACTTAAATTTGACAATGATAGATTCACGCGCCTGATCAGCTAAATGTTTCTGCGCTCTGTAACACTTACTTACTCGTCAACACCCCAATAATTGCAGTGTAGTACTACTGGCAGAACACAGCCCTTATTCACAGTGCCTTATTATACCATTTTTACGTACGCAATCTGCCCTTTTTCTAAACACTATCACCTTGGTCTTACTGAGGTTGACTGGTAACTTTATAGAACAATACTTTGCCAATTGATTCAAGACCGACCAACATTACTACTAAATAGAGTCCGCATACAAAAGGTAAAACATTTTCATTGCATCGATCTACTAGTATACGCCAGAAAGACGTTCCGTGAAACTCGCACCTAAATCATTAATACAAATAAAAAACAACAATGGACAAGACAAGAACCCTGCTGTACAACACACAAACTTTGAAAACTCAGTTATATATCGGAAATGTAACTAGCCGAGCTTGATGTCGATTTAGGATTCTGCTTACAAATAATTTAGCCAATCATAGTACGTTAATTTTAGCCAATAAAACGACCTCATTAATAGTTATTTATCTATCAGCTCGTCTCCCTATTACCCAATCATGTACAAGGCCAAAGTCACTTTCCGTCAAAATGCAAGGAATATAAACTTGTGTATATAAGTGGGTGCTTTGACACATCACGGCAGGAGTTTCAATAAAGTCATCTGTTATAGTGTACACCAGTTCGTCCCTTGTTATCCACCCCTGAACCTTATCATAACAATTACACACATTATATCTAGTGGTGTGTGGACATATGACTTAATATTTGGATACATTGATTTCAGTAATTTAAAAATATTACCCTTTAAACCAATTTAGCCAACAACTAAATTAATAGCTGGTGGTTTGCACAGTCAAGAGCCTTTTCAAAGTTTACAAATACGCAATAAAAATTACTGTCATTCAATCACATGTGACGATTAATTACAGCGATGAGGATGAACAGCTTATCTGTAGTTGAGTATTTTTTGCGAAATCCCGCCTGTTCTCTCATAGCTTACAAGATTGATGTAAAAACCCTGCTGATGACTTGGAGTAAAGATCTTCAAATTCAATAAAATCATCTTGAATTCAGAATATTAAATAAACCAGTCATTGGGTCGTATACTGTAGAAGTAGAAATCATTCGCGTGGTTTTAATTTTGCGAATTTCGCGAGGAGTTCAAAACCGCGAAATTAAAACCACGCGAAAATGTTCTGTTCCGCGTTGAAATGTTGAATACAATACCCAAGTCAAAACAACACCCACTCCTGATCTTACCCACGATGTGACAAGTTTTACCTAGGCTGAAGTAACTGACCAATCCCTTAGTGGCACGTCCCTTTCTCCGGTTCGTGTTTTTGACTTTTATCCGCCAAAATCTCAGCTCGTACACTATTTATTGTCATAAATACTACACACAGTTACTGTTGTGGTATTCATAGTCACATGCACCCACTTTGGCACAACATATTCGACCTGTAAGTTTGAGAAAACATGTCTTTACCGGAGCTTAGCTGGAGCTGTTTACTACAGCGTGACAAGCAAAGAAATAACGCCTATTGTTTAGGGGCGTATTTATAGTATACCTGGGCCTTTAAAGCAGGGGCTCACTTTTACAGGAGCTGCAAAATTAAAGATACATTTCTTAAAATACTGTTAAGAAAAATAACATATAAAAAAATAAATATTAGTACAATAAAAATAACATTACAATCTACTTATTAGTTTAAAAAATGTTGTTCTAAAGTCCATGGCATCAACTAAAAATTCTTTCATAAGTTTGTCTATGGTGTAACACATTTCTTTGTTATAACCTTGAGTGGTATCTTCCAGAATGAAACATATAATATCAAGTATCCCGGTAATGTGTTGTCAGAGTAAGAAGACGATCCGTTGGAAGTGACGTAATTTTCGCCCAGAATAAAGCTGCAATATTATAATGAGAAATGACGTAACTTGGGGGCCATGGAAGTACTCAATACTGAATAGTACCAGAGGTACATTACTTGGGGTTTGTAACTACGGTGACATGATACCAAGATCCCGTCACAATCTCGCTCTCGCATAAGCGTTCCAACTCAGAAAAATGCGAATGCGCATGCCCGAGGTAACTGGGATACTGGGATGTCCAGGTGGATCAAAATAGCTGCCCACGATATGACGGATTACGAGAACTATATTTTCTGTACATTTTCGATGTATTACAATTTTCACTATGATAGTGACAAGAAAAGTTTTATTTTTTCATTACAAACCTTGAACATTGATATGTGTCATGTCAGAAGGTCGTAGCCTCAGTCTCGCTATCTACGAGAAGAGACTTGAATGGCATCTTGTCATGATGTCACCATACAGTACTATCCGAGTTGCAAACCCCAAGTAATGTACCTCTGATAGTACCCAATATGTGTGCACACGTATACAGATCATGTTGAATTTGTCGCATGATTCGGCTGGCCGACCGTTGGCAACTTGTACTCTCTCACAGCCCCCGTGGGACAGTGGCTCACGTAGTTTTATGGTTTGTAATGACCCAATGCTGGGAAAGAGTAGATAATAAGTATGTAATCGTATTTTATTTCCTTTATTGTCAGTTATTAGTTGCATATTATTGCCATCCAGGCCATATTATAGGTGTACATTATTGCTCTATGGCCAGTCATTAGTTGTATCACATTGTCCTCGTGACCAATCAGTAGGTGTACATTATTGTTCACATGGCAAATTAATTGTGTATATAAGTCAATTATATATTATTGGGTATTATAAGTCAATAGGTGTAAATTACAGTACATTATTGCTACACTGTCAGTCATTAGTTGCATATTATTGCCCTCGTGACCAATCAGTAAGTGTACATTATTGTTCACATGGCAAATTAATTGTGTATATAAGTAAATTATATATTATTGGGTATTATAAGTCAATAGGTGTAAATTACAGTACATTATTGCTACACTGTCAGTCATTAGTTGCATATTATTGCCCTCAAGGCCATTCAATACATGTAGGTGGAAATTATTGCACTTGCGACCAGATAATGGGCGTGTATTATCACCTTCAGGATTAGACACAAGTTGTATATTACTTACTGCCTTCATGGCCAGTCAATAGGTGTATAGATATAACCTTCATGGCCAGTCAATAGGTGTATAAATATAACCTTCATGGCCAGTCAATAGGTGTATAAATATAACCTTCATGGCCAGTCAATAGGTGTATAAATATAACCTTCATGGCCAGTCAATAGGTGTATAGATATAACCTTCATGGCCAGTCAATAGGTGTATAGATATAACCTTCATGGCCAGTCAATAGGGGTATAGATATAACCTTCATGGCCAGTCAATAGGTGTATAAATATAACCTTCATGGCCAGTCAATAGGTGTATAAATATAACCTTCATGGGCAGGCAATAAGTAGTATTAACTTAACCAGTCAATAGATGCAATTTATTGCTCAGGTATGTATTTTTGTCCCAGTGGCCAGTTATTAGTTGCATGTTATTATCCTTATGACCAGTCAACATCTGAACATTATTGCTCTCATGGATAGTTAATAGTTGTAGACAACTATAACAAGTATTGGACATTAACATAAAAACAAAAGAACAAGAATATAAAAATAAAAAAAATCACAAAAACAATATAACGACAAAATCACAGATATTTTCTGAGCATGATTTGCATACAGACACTGTAAATAAATTGTGCGAGCAACATGATAATTTGTTGTGCATTAGTAATATTGGCAAGCCTTGGCATTAGGGGATGGACCATTAGATTTTGGGAGGGGGTGGTCACAATTCGAGAAAAAAAAAATTTTGGATAAATAATCTAAAAAAAAAAATAATTTGAGAGAGGTTACTGGAAAAAAACCCCAAAGTTGTTAGTTTATATATGTACTTTATTTTCAACAAAATTAATTGACGTTTCACTTCGGGGATTTTTAAAAAAAGAAATAATGTAAACATATTCTGTGTAAAAAAAAATTAAATTAGGAATTTGGATAGTTAAAAAAAAAAAATTCTCCTTGGTCTGATCACCCCCTCCCAAGATCTAATGGT